TTTAATATACGTCCGTGTATCAGTGCGGAATGTCATGATGTTACACATTCCCTGTAGTAGTCATGCACAGGGTATAACAATTAACAGACAAATAATGGGGCTGGGATTTCATCTGATCGATTGCCTTGGACTGGGATCTGGGCTAACATTGGTGGGAATTGGATCTCATTATACATTGCCTCCAGCCTAACATTGATGGGACTGGGATTTCATCTAGACTGGGATCTCGGGCTGAAATGAATGGATAAAGAATTGCTTAGACTGGGATCTAGGCTGAGTGAGACTGGGATCTAGGCTGAGTAAGACTGGGATCTCATCGGATAAAGAATTGCTTAGACTGGGATCTAGGCTGAGTGAGACTGGGATCTAGGCTGAGTAGGACTGGGATCTCATCGGATAAAGAATTGCTTAGACTGGGATCTAGGCTGAGTGAGACTGGGATCTCATCGGATAAAGAATTGCTTAGACTGGGATCTAGGCTGAGTGAGACTGAGATCTCATCGGATAAAGAATTGCTTAGACTGGGATCTAGGCTGAGTGAGACTGGGATCTCTTCTGAAAAATAAAGAGAAAACAAAAGAGAATTGGAAACAGAATGAACAAAATGAATTAATATCAAAAAACATGTTTGGGTGTGGCCAGAAAGGCAATAGAAATTTCTCCCATGTTACTAATTTTGGAGTCTGTGTATAATATGATTTAAATTCAACGAATATCCATTAAAACCGTTGAAGATTAACTACACTTTTGGGTTATCTATTTATATTCAAGTTAAGGCGGAAAAGTGAACTTTATAACGAGAACCATTTATTCCTTTAGAAATTAAATTATCTTTACAGGACAGAATGCGCTAGTTGCTAGGAGAGGATGTAATTTTACCTGTAAACTGCTCGATTTAAAATGAGCAGAGCCCAAGAATTGCTGTTGAAGTTACTGATATCCTGACTTACTTTATTTCCAGAAGGCATTTTTAAGGCAAGATGTCGGCATCCACGGATACTATATGTTAATTTAGTTTTGTTTTATTTCATAATTATTCATATATTTCGGATAAAATTGTAATTTTCAATGAAAGATTAAGTACGGTTGAAAATAAATTTGCAGGGTAAAAATTGACAACGAAACAAATATAAACTTCAAAACTTAAAACACAGGCCTAACTGTAACACGAATCTGGCCCGCACATTAAAATGAATCAGGTTCACTTTGGGCATGGTGACGGATGATGAAATCCAGGCCTGAATATGTCAACATTTTGAGATAAATTTATCACTGACACCATATTTTTGTGCATGCATGAAACCTCCTTTTTGATGTCCACCTGAAAACTTGTTGTGAATGGAGATTATGAACCCCTGTACATTTTGACCCGAGACACTGTGTCCTGTTTTTGCCACAGGATATTGTCCTGCTATCCTCTGCCTCCACGGAGCATCTCCCTCTCGGATATTGCGCTCTCACGTTTCAACCTTCGCCGAGAAGTTTGAAAGTGTCAATACTGATTCTTGGAGGGAGGACTGAACTAGGTTTGCTACCACATTCCACTGGTTCATCTTCCTGATCAGCAGCTTCATCGCATCCTGGTCAACAAATTGACTGTATTCCTCAATCGTACAATGAACGCCGGCTAAGCATTCCTTCGCTTGTCCCCACCGCCCATGTAGAGCGCTGGGGTGGACTTTTTTTTCAGGTTGCTTGAAGTATAGTCTGATTTCCTGACCAAAGATTCCATGACGACTCTTGTAACAATTTTAAGCCAGTTATCACTCATGGATATGAATAGATCATGACGCAACATGTCAAGGGTCACAGGGAAAGACTTTGGGTGGGTGTGACGACAGTGACATCACAGACAGATTAGCCTCGGGTTATTTACGTACGGTTACACCTTGGTTACACAACCACATCTGGGATAGAGGCAAGCATCTATAGTCGTTTGCTGCATGTTCAAAGCATCAGCCATCAACTAGGCTTTCCTTTAACTTCGATCGCGCGCATACTCTGCGCTGATCGATTCACCCCGGCCCGATCGCGACTCTTCAAACCATCATCAATCTCATTATGCGTACAGAAAAGGCATAAAAATACCCGAATATTGACGATGCTATCCGAATGTGGACAGGACGCTTTCGGAATACTTCGGCTATTTTCAGAAACTGGTGGAATTCCTCCAGTTTTGGTCAAGGACAATGGGCAATACCGACCCTTGATTCGACGAGAATAGTCAGAATGATTGGGTCTGGTATCCAGACCTAAGTGAGGTAAAGACGCTTAAGTTTCTAGGTACTGTCATTGCATATTTATGTCAAGATCACGGGCTTCATATGAAAGATGGACAGGTTATCCTTACGCAGCCCACAAGGTCACTGAAGCCACCAGCGGCCATCTTACCATACCGAATACAAAGGTAATACAAAAGCTGCACGTCATACATGTACATTGTAGTTACTAGGGCAAGCTAGTATTTGGCACCCGTAAAATGACCGCAGGTAGCTTCATTTGGTACAAAGGTATATTGCAACTCCATATATCATAATATGGCGTCCGTGGCCGCTATTCACCTATTCCAAGTGAAACCAACTAATGCCGTCCTGAGCTCGAAGATGAAACGTGAAGTGTTTGGAAGAGATCAAAGCGCCATCGTGACCCCGGAACAGTGTCATTAGAGCATAAGAACGGGATAACGACATCCCAAGAGCGGGATATTGACACACTATCTCGGAACACCGATACCATAAGTATAGTATGTGGACATCATGAGCCATTTTATCACGTGATGGCATTATCCTGAACGCAAAATGTCGATTCAGTGTTTAGGTACGAAGCCCAATTATTGCCATTTTTACTGGGTGATATGTATTTCGCAGGGTGGTGCATAGGGCCCTTCTTCTCAGGGGTAACTTTATCCTAAACATAAGCGATATCCACATTCCTTTTCATGATGTCTTTGTCCCATGAAAAAAAATAATTTCAGGGTGTCGTCATCCTGTGAAACGTTGCGACAAGATGTCGACATCTTACTTGTAACATGTCGCCATCCTGACATAATATTATTTGGAATACCGATAAGTCAAATGGCACGTCCATAGCTTTGAAGAAATTTAAGCTGGGGGGGTTCCTGTCCAACCTCAAGAAAAAGAAGAAAACAACACACCGGTTCTCCAGGCAAGCTTGTCAAATTGAAATCGCGCTGTTGACGGCGCTGAACCTCGGCTTGGAACTCCGTGAGCTGGTCGCTGTTTGGTTCGAACAAGCGAAACGTCATGAGGGCTTCATAAGCAAGTTTAGCTTCAGCATCCATACTGTCACCCTGCAAAACAATATGTCAATCAACTCAAACAAATTTGTGCATTAATTACAAAAATGAATCTTGGACTCAACGAACGTACCACGAAGCAAGTAAATTTCTGCATGGTTTTTGTATGATGGTTTCATTATATTTCTTTATATTTCTTGTACTACATACATGTACATGTACTTCAGACCTCTAAAATATTTACGCGGCTTCCCCTTTTCTAATTTTAATGCATCGTTTTACAGCGCCTTCAAACACATGGAATACCAATATTAGAGGCCAACCAGGTCAGTCTATCAGTCTATCAGAGGCCAACCAGGTCAGGCTATGGGGAAGTAATTTCTTTTGTACACATTTTATTCTTCATTATGAAAGCCCTGGAGTTCCATCTAGTATACCTATTAATAAAAAGTGAAATATATTTTTTGCTTGTTCGTTTTTATGAAATATATATTTATTTTCAACTTCTGAAGTTTGTTTGTTGGAGACATACATTATTCACATTGTTCTTATGAGATCTAAATTTAGAAACATCTTTTTTATAACTTTTTTGGTTTTGTTTTGTTATGATTTTTTTTATGAGGTTTGGTTTTATAAGATATATTTTCCCGTAATTCAGGAGATATGTCTTTTCACGTTTTGAGAAATCATTTCTAAAAAAAAAAATCAAAACAAGTAACTAAAACAAACGAACTTTAAAAAAATTTCCTAAAAACGAATTTGAAACACATGTTAAACTAAAAGAGGATTGACGGTATTCGCTGATACTTTATGAAGTCGATTGCATTTTTAATATTTTTAAGAAAGAAATTATCGCATATGATTGTTATAACCTTAAAATGCGAAGAGCATGTAGTCGTTGTAAGTCATGGGATTCTGTAATACACGCTAGCATTTTGTGCGTGACAAGACTTCTCATGAACTAGCATTGATCGGGAACTGTCTTAATCCGATAAAATGCTTTTGTTTGATAAGTCTTCCTTTTTAATCACCTACATTACACAGATTCCTTAGAAACAGACTTTAATATTCGTCCACCCAAATGGTCAACCCAATTCCCAATTTCCATTTTAAAAAAAGCCACAACCTAATTCAATTAAGGTGCAATAAAATCTTCAATTTTGTAGCATTTTAATCGCCCTTCTTACGGCACAATAGTATCATGTGGTGATCGGTGGTTAACCCTAACTCCCTAGGGTGTGTGCAAAATCGTATTAAAATTGGAGGATTTGGGAATGTTAGGGTTAATGTTGTGCAAAACCATTACTAGTTTTCCTGCAGGAAAATGAAGGAAAAGAAATCGACTTTTTGTGTTTATTATTTTGTTTTTAAACAAAATTTTGAAGGGAAAAAACATATGACAACCACGACGAAATTCCTTGTTGATACATTTTCAACTATCGTAGCGGTGCATTTCTTTTCATTGTTCCGAAACGTCATGAGTTTGGTTCTGACACCCAGTGATAAAAAATAAGACACACCGTGTCACAGATGTCCATTTTATAACAGCTTTGCAAAAAAAAGTTGATTTTTGTATACAGTGAGCTCATTGCAAACATAAAGGTGACTAAGAAATTATTTTCCAAATTAACCTTGATCGGTTTGAAACAGTGATGCTTAGTTTCATCATGATTGCTTGTAAGTCATTTTGTAACCTTGGGAGCGAACGTGCTCCTGGCTGCAGTAAGTTCCAGAAACTTGCTCAAAATTTTACATTACAGCATTTTATTATTTAAGGATAAAATGCCTTATTCTCAGACTGATAAAATAGATAAACACCAATAATTCCAATAATGACACAGCTCTTCTTCATTCACAACTCATCACGGACGACAAGGCCTTTCAACACAGATTAATAAAATCTTGAATGAACATTAATAATGAACTAAAAACCATCCAGGCACAGGATGTTCCCCCGCTTAGTGCTATATGAGCTACGGGAGGAATGGCCCTATTGAACCTACAGGGAGCCATTACCATTGCCTGTCATCAAGTATTGGAACTATCGTCATAGTATTTACATTTCATGATAGGTAAATTTCTACTCTCTGAAATACACTTACTGGCCTTTATGATAGTGTACGAGAAATTTAGCCTGTGTCTGTCGAATTCAAGCTAGAAAAATGCCCTCCATTGTTAGCAAGAAAACCCCTATGCTGCCTTCACTTAGCAATGTGAAACTGGAGGTGACTATATTTTTTACATAAAATTCTCCTGTTGAAACCTACGGGAAAAATTATGGTTCTAGGCAGACCTACTGGACACCAATGACAACTAGTAAACTGTAAAGCAAAATTGGTTAAGATTTAAACAATACGGATAAATGTCCTTGTTATATCTATTCAATTGGTGGTGATGGGGTGGAGGTGGGCAATTTGACAATTAAATTTCCCAAATGTGTTTCCCACAAAGGGCTGTGACAAAGTGACCTCAAGCTGCACTTACTTCCCCACCAGAGCGAGCAGAGTAAGAATTAAGTACTATTGATACAAGCTTGTTTTAATTTTTCATGAAAGTATAACAAAAGTTTAACAAAGTTTCTTCACTGAATTTTGTACATATTGCATGAGCTGCGTGCTTTTAAAATTTTCTACACAAACATAAAGAGTTCTTCCATCCGATGAGCTGACACTTTGCAGAATTCTGTATTTTCTAATCATTCTGCCATGTCATTTGTATCAACTAAACTTCACATAACCACAAACTTGTTGCTAAAAAGTGCATTGTTTCCAAAGTAATAATTCTATGTGGGACTAAACCCTACCGTATAGAAGGGTTTTTGTGTCATAAAGTGCAGTGTCCTGTTTCAATTGTATGAATTTACACATACAGTTCCACACCTCACCCAGAATAACCAACCTATTGAATATTCATGAAAAAGTTGCCAACCCTGCCCTTGATTGGTTGTTCCTGATCAGCTCAGGATAATGTGTTCACACAAGATTTCCAGTGGCATTTTGTGCAGTAATTCTCCATGGTGGAACCATAGGCTAGGAATACATGTACTGTGTATCGCGCAAAGCAGTGTGTACTACTACACTAGTATTTCACCAGATCTATACTGCAGTTCTTTAGTTTCACATGTGCTATAACTTGTGGGTTTTAAGGTTAATTCCGTCGGCATTGTTCATCCATATCTGAATTACAATACCAACTGAAATTCTGAGAATAATTTGTGGAATAAAGCACCCGAACCGTGTGAATTTAATAAATACATTACTCTCCTCCAATCTCTAATCTGAACATATCATAACAATAACTGCCTTCCGGGCTTTTTTTAATGGATCAAGCTGAAAGCACGCTCTTACTCCATTCATAAACACCTCTTTGGGAAGTTAAACTTCTAACATTTTTTTCTGTCTTTTCGCTTGATGCTTTGCAAATACTCTTCCTGTGTTTCTCTCACGATCGTGACGAAGCGTAAACACACATCTCTCCATCCGTTCCATCATGCCCAGCACACAAGGAAATTAGTCACTTTCTTGAACTTGTCACTCCCTATCCTGTGCTGCGTTGAACATTAACCAACTACTTCATAGTACACTATATACACTTGTTTGAGAAGAGCAAATTACTTTGTGGCATTCAGGATTAACGTTGACGTCTTGAAACCGCAATTTTGTTCATGCCATTAATTTCGCTTCAGAAATAATATAGGCTTTCCTGGCCAGTTTAAAAGATTTTGCAGCCCAATTCATGTCAAATCATCCCTTTAGCACGAATTTGAATACACATTCAGATCATCATTCAAGTAACCAATAAATTTGTTTGATTGGGTTATGAAAAGGTGTGATCTCAAAATTCTGTCCTTCAGTTTATAAAGGACAAATTAAAGGGACATGTAATAAAAATAGTGTACTAACCCGGAAGTGGCCCCTTTGTGTTTAACTCACCTTATTTTCAATTAAGCCAGCAGGCTACCTTTTCTAAAACATGACTGTTATCAAAGAGCAATATGGGGCTCAAAATTTACGGCTCGTAACTCTGAAAAGATTTCATACACGGTAGGAGAGTTTAGACATGCACAAAAAGTGATTCTAAAAAAAATCACTGCATTGTTCCTTTACATTGACATTCAAATTAACAAAAAATAGGCATTCAAATCAGTCGAAGCTTGCAACTGCGTGTGGTCATTCCAATTCGCCAGTAAACAAGCATTTTGAAATACTAGCAACAGAATTTTAATGGGTAATTGTTTATTTATCTGATAAACATTTTTTCATGGGTCCCATTTTAGAAGGAATGTATACTGAAATTGTCTCTTTAATTATTCTACCATTGGTCTGGGTAAGTACCACTCTAATTGATTTAAGCACTACAGACCTGAACGTGGCAACTGTACGTGCGCGGTAATTACGAATGTGGACCGAACACCTCTACTCAAAGCGGTCGAAAGTAATATCCAAGGCTATATATAATAAAAGTATTTGACTGACAAAAAAAAACTACGAAAACTTGTTATGCACACGTAAAAAACATGCGCACGAGACCTGATTTGCCATAAGTTACTGAAGAAAAAAACCATTTACGACTCTTAAAGGAAATGGAAAGAGTCCGTATTTTCATGTTTTCGTTCTGTTAAAACGGTAATAAAATAGACTACGACAATAGGAAACTCAGAAAAGGTAAAACTAAACAAAATTTTGCATCTTGAATTTAATATTATTGTTTGTGTTTTTGTGTGTGTGCAAAACCTACCAAAGGGAATGCGTATGGTGAAAACGGAAACACAAAATCGCACAACAATATTAAAAGATAAGCATTCACCACTGACAATAATGAGAACGACTCAAACAACTGGCATACTTTCAACTGCAGATTCTTCAAAATCAAGATGTCCTGCCCCGAGAAAGAATATGGTTGCCAGAAATCTATGAATCATTACGCCTACAGCTTCAATTTGGACACCTCAATGTTTATTTAAATACATTTTGGTAGTTTTATCGGGAAAATCTATATTTTATACACATAATGGAAATGATTACAGATTTGCAGTGACAAGTATCAAAATTTTATGTTGAGACGTTCAAAATAAATGCTAAACTTAAACATTTCTTCTTTATTATGGATCTATTCTGGCCAATTACCAGCGAAAAAGTCCGCTGCTACATCTGACTCGAACCAGCAAGCCGGTGGTCGAGTGATACGACATCTGCACTGGAAAGCAGGAAGTAATGGGTTCGAGTCCACCCGAGTATATTCGTGGTTTTTCAAAAGCCCTCGGGGCAAACTCTGAGAATACAGCGTTATAATGCACGTCGGGCAGGTCAGAAATCTAAAATTAATTAACATCTCCTCAGCACAAATTCATCCTTGTAATGGTTTTAATGTTTTGTTTTGTTTTGTTTTTTGAACAATTTTAGTCAATCTGTTGCGATCAGGCTTGAGTGCCGTAGGTATAAATAATGCCCCATTCTTTTAGCATAAATACTCTGTACGAGAAAAACCGATCTGTTACACTAT